TTTTCTAAGTCACGGACTCTTTCATCCCTTTCTCTGTGTTTTCTCGACAAAACATATTTCGATACAAAATATTGACTTTTAGTAAATCAATAAAAATAAGAAATATTTAAACTGAAAATCCGATGGCATCTCATGTCACACAGCGTTTGCATTTTAGTAATAAATATCCGCATATTCTGGTTGTCATACACTTTAATTTTAAATGCATTTTTCAATCACAAAAATTGTTTAATTAGTGGACAACCGATTATATGACTCAATGAACATATATTTATAAATAGTTTGTCGACTTAATTATTTGCATTTAATTATAGTAATATCACATCTACTTAATTAGTGAATAGCAATTAGCTGTAATAAATGTACTAGAGTCATAAGACAATAATATTATACTGTATGTTATTTTTATTTGTGTATTTCATGTACTAACTATTATATAACTAAATATTATTTATTGAACAATTCGTGTCTAGTTTCTAGTGTTGAACCCAAAGAAATTTTTAAACATATTTTCTGAAGATTTTTGGGGACAATCATTAAAAATAATCAATAATAGAGTCCATTTGAAACAATTATTAAATACTATGAAATGTCTAATTTAATTAAAAATATTGCTTTCATTTGTAATAATGAAAAAGCAGTAAAAGAAATTTTGTGATAAATTAGACATTTATTAATATTTAAGTAACACTAGACTTTATTTAACAATGGTATTACAAAAGTTTGATATATATTTCTATAATAAGTCCAATTCATAATTACAGAATAATATTGAAAAAGACATTAATTGTAGATTAAATCTATAATTGATGACAATATTCAGCAAATATAAGAAATGGATATTTTTAAGAGACTTATAATTTGTATGAAATAAATGAAAGTATTACTAATTAATTCTTATATAAAATTACTTTAAATGGTTTTTAGTATTCATTTATATAGCAGAAATACGAAACTACAGTACGAAACAACTGTAGTTGCTTAATAAGAAAATACAATTGACATTAAAATTAAATTATATTTTAATGGATTTATAGTAATATTTATCTAAATATTGAAATCTTGTCATCAAAATAATCTGTTTAAATATTGCATTCTACAATAAATATATATTATTATAATACCTATAATAGAGTTATGCAATAATTTTTAACAAATATTGCATAACTCTCATGTCAAACAGTTATGTCAAAAAGTTTGTTTAAGTATTGCCTCTTTTATGATTGAGAATGCATTTTATTATTCAAATTATATTAAAATATTAACTTTAATGTGTATTTCTATGGTATTTATCATATTGTGTATCGTATTGTAGAGATGAGAATATTATGTAATGTATGTTTGGGACCGAAGTATATGAGAGGGTAATTGAAAACCAAATTCAATGATTATTACTTACATAGACTGTTGGCCCCAAACATCTCTCACTCACTTTCTCACTGACTCTCGCAATAATATTGTTCATACAAATAATGATTGAAATAACTATTTTATATTAATTGTATTTTATAAATAATTTCATAAATATTATCCCTTTATATGAAAATTATGTAATGTAAAGTATGTGCAATATATATGTAGATTTTTTAAGCAAGAGTTAACATTGCATAGTCCACGATGCTAAATCACCAATATAAATAGGTTTACTATAGTTGCCCTCAGCAAACACAGTACATTATATGTTATACTGTACATTAATATCCAGTGTTGTAAAGCATGTACGATAACTTTATTTTTAATTTCCCACTTCTAATCATGAAATTAATGTTTATTTATTTAAAACACAATTTCTGTAATGCATTCGTTAATTAATAATTTTGATTTCTGTTTGCATAAAGTATTTACACTTTGTTTATCAAATTATTTTCATATCGATTTTGAGAGGTTTCGCATAAATTCTTGTGTAAAACTATGTTAAAAATTCACGAATAAATTAATATTGCATAACATAGACACTGCATTACATAACTCTTAATCCTTTAATTACATTATAATTTAACATTAAATACATGGTATAAGAATTTTTAACTGTTTTAAATTACTTAGTTGTTTAACTAAATATAAAAGAAATACTTTATTTATAAAATGTTTTGTCAGTTTCAATGAATGATTACAATTAAACCAAATTTGATTCATAAAAATTTTGATTAATAAATGCATACAATATTCACTGATAATATGTTTAATAAAAAATATAAATCCACTTATAAATTATATAAGAAACTGATATAACTCTTGAGCACAACTTTATATACAAAATTGCTTATAATAAATGAGTTTTTGTCTAATAAACAAAATTATATATAAAAAATTTTATATTAATTTATATAAATTGCTTAATATTTTTGCACACACTTATAGACTGACTATTAATGTATATTAAAAGTATTTTTCTCTCCAATAATTAATCAAAATAACAGTAAATCCAATTACGAGAGCAAACTTAATATTAGGGGAAAACTGTATTCACTGTTCACTATATTTCTGTCACTAATAAGGAGTGGAAAATTGTTTTCATATTTTCTAATTTAGAGTCAGTATTTTGAGACCACATTTGTGTGGATCTACTAATTGACAGCCGAGACAACAAAAGACGGCCAGAAATAAGTTATTTTATAAATACGTGCACTTATACTGTATTGTCAATACAGTACTCACTCTCTGTACACAAAAACTTTTACTTTTGTCGGATTTAATGGTGAAAATTGTCATTAGATTTAAGTTAACAGTAAATGTAAATAAAAAGGAAAATACTCACAGAATTTCAACGACAGATAGAAAATGGTATTAAAAAAAGAGAGACAATAAGTCTTTGAAAATTTTTTAATTAAAATTCTGTGTGTATTGTCTTTTGGTTTTGCAATTAGTTTTGCAGAAAACATTTTAAAAAATCAAATACACTGCTAAAGCCTGCAGTTTCACCTTTATTGTTACCTAAAATTGTTCATTGTTTGTCATAACTACAAAATATACTTTGGTATACTTTATGGTATACTTTAAAAAATCAATGTCAAAAATATAATGAATTAAATCAAAACTAATTGAATACATGATTAGGAGCTGCCGGTGGCGGATGCGGACAGCAATAACTGGAAGGGTGTGACGATTGCAGTGATGGTTATACTCGCCATTTGCGGTG